ACCTATGGCACGATATAGGATAGCGGATTCTCTTACGCTGTAATTATAGGAGATGAACAGCAACGTTCATCGATAGTCAACAACAATCCAATTAAAATTTGTAATAACTATGACAAATATTGACCATATGAGGCAATGTAAGGCTTAATAGTAGTCTTATGATAGGCTGTTACGAATGAATGAATTCAAAATACTATTGTCCATATATGAAGCACACACACCGTTATAATAGCAGTTACACCTTAGTCACGTTAAGTAATGTTATGTCAACATAATGATTAAATAATCTGTGCCCACGTAATACCTATCACACAGAAAAGGGCTCTAATAATGACAACTTTCACTAGAAATTTAGAATCGACTATGTACTTTACGTTTACTACTTTTACTCGTTGTATAGCGGAATTAATTTGCCCTTTGATAGTGAAAGTAAACCGGCAGCATAGTTCGTACACCAATACTTATCTATCACGTACATATTTAATAAATAAAACGTGGTAAGAAAGTCGGCTTCGAGTGAGAGTGTAGTAAACCTAGTAGAGTCACGCTCCAGCTATATTAGGTACGGTTTAGCACGAATAGGTGGCCTCGTCCGGGTTCGGACCACGATCTCACAGAATACCGACGTAAAATAGCAGGTTAATACTGTGTTTCATATGTAAGTGTAGGGAACCGGAGACACTTATTACTGGAAATGAAGCATTGCATCTAAGTCCTCAAGGGTGTTAACGCATCTGCATTTTGATGCCTAATTGAAGATTTATATATGACGTTAAATGATATCAGGCAACATGCACAGGATACAGTATAATTTGATAAAGTTAGTGGTAAATAATTACTACAAATATTTTGATAATTTTCCAAATACTGAATTTGCGAGCCGCGGCTATCAAATATTTTTGAAAGCAAACTATGATATTAAATAAGTGCAGCAAGCGTCACAAGAATAGAAACAACACTAGTCCTAACCGGCTCGTACCCCAAACAACAACTTTAATATTAGTACTATTTTTTATTATAATTTTGAAACAACTTCAATATTAGTACTATTTTTGAAAGAACACATTGCTCTAAAAAAATATTCTGGATTCAAGAAACATAATAGATATATGAATATTATTTAATCGCAGGCTTTGTGCATAATTTACGACTTAACTAAGGTTATTTGCATAACGCAAATCTTGGAATAATACCGTTTAAATAACGGTTTTCTAAACGAGGTAAACTAACAGTTCATTTTAAATAATGTTCGTGACATAAATTTCACTGTGACATTTCATCATCATCATCATTACAGCCCATCACAAGTCCACTGCTGAACATAGGCCTCTCCCAAGCAACGCCACAGAGCACGGTTCTGAGCCACCTGCATCCATCGACTTCCTGCATATCTTACCAGGTGGTCACTCCATCTAGTGGGGGGTCGCCCTACACTACGCCTACCGGTACGAGGCTCCCACTCGAGAACCTTTCTTCCCCATCGGTTACCGGTTCTTCGAGCTATATGGCCGGCCCATTGCCACTTCAGCTTACTAATCCGTTGGGCTATGTCGGTCACTCTGGTTTTACTGCGGATATCCTCATTTCTGAGTCTATCACGCAGAAAAACCCCGAGCATAGCCCTCTCCATAGCTCGCTGAGCGACCTTGAGCGTCCTCATACGGCCAGCAGTGAAGGACCACGTCTCTGATCCGTAGGTCATCACTGGCAACACGCACTGGTTGTACACTTTAGTTTTCAGAGATTGAGGTATACCTGAACGATGGTAGAGGTACACCTGAAATATGAATGAACTGTGACATTTACGTCACGTAAAATATCTAGACCGGCAACAGGCAGTAGAGTCAAAGGTGCGAGACATCCATGCATGTATGAATATGACAAATACAGGCACTATTCTTGTCCCTAATACCAGAGGCCGACATTCTGAAGTGCAACAACTTCTGCAACTTTTATAGGCGGATAACAATGAGAAGAAGTATGATTTATAACCGTGTTAATAACATACAGTTCAGGATTAGTGGCGATAACAATATTTCCACGCTATAATTACAGATAAATACCAAAAACAAGCTGATTAATCATTTTCGTGTATCATATTGAGTTATATCAAAATAATGAAAAACTACGGTTGCCAATCAGTATGCCAAGCACGGCAACTATGGCAAATACCCCGTGTGCGGCAATCTATAGGGGCATGCCTGTTCAGCAGTGGAATTTTATAGGTTGTAATGAATGGATGGATATTGCGGCGTATTCTAAAATTTCGGCTCGACCGAGGAAGGAAGGTAGGACGGTAGGCGTAATGTAGGGCGACCTCCCACTAGATGGAGTGACGACCTGGTAAGACATGCAGGAAATCGATGCGGCTCCGTGCTACTTGGCATTACTTGGGGGAGGCCTATGTTCAACAGTGGACTTGTGAAGGGCTGTAATGATGATGAAGATGATGAGGAAGGAAGGACCATGCTCGCATCAAATATCAGTGGAAATAGAAACATAATAGAAACAAAATGCTTTTCGTATCCTGTGTAATGAGAAATGGATACCCTTTCACCCTTAGTCGAGGACATTACTACTACCATCATGCTCATTGTCACCGTTACTAAAATAAAATAAAATATCTCCCGAAGATCATTTTCATCAACCAGTTTGAGCTCAAAAAATGACAGTATTTTTTGTTTTGCAACAACTCAACATCGAAAAGGATAATCAAACTTATGATACACGTACAAACTTAATAACTACAATAAAATTAACATAATTGTTTTTGAAGCCCGTGTTGACAGTGTATCGAAGGATTAAAGCCTCGACTTCATAAGCGATTATATGGAAATTAATTTTTTTAGTTGATTTGTCCTTTGATTAAAAGTAATGTATTTTACGCTTTTTGAGTGGTCTAAGGTATATATCATAAGTGCAAGGTTTCAAATAGTAACTGTCGTCCAAATATTCATTCCTTATCCCTTAGGGATGGACTATTCTGTGCGAAGTAATAAAAAAAGAATCATTTAAATCAGTTCATCAATTTCGTACGCCGAATACCAATACTAGAGAACCTTTTAAGTGTAAGTAAAGTAAAAAAAACAACATTTAATTTATTTTTAGAAATATGAATAATAACGTGAGCATAGTAATCAACATTTTTGCCTTAATAATTTAAAAGCGAAGTTATTAAAATTAAGAATGAGTAAGGGCAAGGATATTTTAGTGATTAAACAAATTATACTTTATATTATACGTTTATTAATAAACATGAGCAAGTTGTTTTCACGCGACTGGTTTACGTGGAATTTTCCCAGGTAATGGAGCCGTGAAAAACTAAAATGCTTTACCCAAAGTTGGAATAAAAATGTATTCTTAAGGTCACTACATACAGGACGGGATCAGCACGTGCAGGTGACGGAGACGGAACGACGTTGTATGTCAACACGGACGGGGGTTTAATGCATACGCATCGTGACAGTGATTCGAAACTAAGGTGCTAGTGTTGTGAAAGATGTATTTTTCATTTGAAAAATTGGCATTAATTGCTATTGCTTTTGATGATGATGAAGCTACAACCGTCAAGAGTAGTGGACTTTCGTATGACAGCTTAAATTATATATATAAACTGTTTGCAGTGAGTGATAATTCGATTACAATTTTCCGCCACAGATTTTTGTTATATTTTGTGGCTAAGACGTTGTGCAAGATTATACAAACATGGATATGATCCATACACATTTTAATTATTTCAATTAGTTTTTGGTCGTCCATTTTGTTCGGTACGACACGCGCATCACTGCGGAGCCAACGGAGCGACTGTACATACCATACCATACGCAGCGGAACCACGGATGGAACGTGGCACGCGCCGGGCGGGACGGGGTAAACATCGTCGCCGATGATATTTTACCCGTAACGTTCATGCCAAGTCTTCGTCTCGTCCGTGCATTCGTAACGTATGCATTATCACGTACATTTTGTAGGAAACGAAATTACAAAATTTCACCTCCCGCTCCGTCCGGAATAAAACACGTTACGTATGCAGCGACCTTTAGTCCGACAGATCTCTTTGCTAACGTTAGAATTAAATCATAGCAAATATTTATTGCTGTGTAGTGACGGTGTATGAATTATTCACCAGCGCGTATCCCGTGGGTGCCGTAAGAGGCGACAGAAGGAAACTGAAACAGGAGATGGGCTATAGGCATCTTCCTAACACCTACTGAAAATTATCATTGATTGCGGTTGCCAGCCCGCCATGCGTGCCAATTACGGCATAATCCTCTCTGTGATCAATCTACGAGGGAGGTCTTTGTTCAGCAGTGGACTTTCACAAGCTGTGATGGATGAATGGACATTCAAGCCGTGTATTAGTAGTATAAAATAATCTATCACCTATATATATATATATATATATATATATATATATATATATATATATATATATATATATATATATATATATATATTTATATACATATATATTATAATAAGGGTGACAAATGAGTACACACTCCTAAGTGGATGCTGTAGCTCATAGACACCTGTCTACATTTATTTTCAATTAAGAATCAAAATGCAGACACTCACCATACGTAGCACAGTAGCATTAAGCTGCTATATTACTCTGGTATTCTGTGAGAGCGTAGTCCATCCCCGGTCGAGCCAACACATTCGTGGTACACCCGTAATATAGTTAAAGCTTGGCACACCACGTAAATGCCATGGGTGTCCTAAGAGGCGACTATGGAAAATATAACAAAGATGTTTTGGCTTACGATAGAAGGCTGTATAACCATCTCTTTACGCCAGGCGTAAAATAACTACACCAGTGACCGGCTGAAGCGTCACTTGTTCGAGACGTCAGATATTGCGCTCATCAATACACCTGCCAAGCGTGGTGATTAAGGCGAATATTCCCTACAATGAGAAAGGTCCCAGTCCAACAGTGGACTTTTACACTGATAATTATTTAAAAAAAAAAATAAAAAAAAAAACTAGCAAAAACGTACCATTATGAAGAAAAGATGTTTTGACAGGCTCCTTTATCTCCCTGGAAAGAAAAAATATATATATATACTCAATTCTTTAAAGTAGCAAATTTTATTCTTTAAACAACGTAACTACAATTTAACAATATAGCTAAACAATTGTTTTATTATTATATATTACACATTACTTTCAATTTGTTAAAAAAAGAATCGCAAAGTTTTGGGTACAAAAACTCACAGCTCAGCATATAACATGCCTATATTTAATAAAACTTGACATAGTTGGTTTTGATTTATTTATAAATATTTTTATATCCGGGACCATAGGAATTTATGCCTGGTTGTTGCAGGCACGAACAAAAATCTACCAACCTTAAAGAATTCTACAGACATTATAAAAAGGAAAGAGTAATCAAGACGAGAGTAAAAAGGCTTCTGTTACGCTAAGACAGTGCGTTTATCATCTAGGGCTTAGTCACAACTTACTAGCTTACTACTAGTTAACTTCCCAGTAGGAAGTTATTGTAATGGGTCCGATTTTGCAAATTGGAAATTTTAACATATCTCCACGTTTCAAGGTCTTTAAAGTCGAATAGTATGGTTTTTAAGAGGATGTCCGTGTGTGCACATGTACGTACATACATAAATATATGTATGTATGTATGTATGTTCGGATTCGACTTTCACCTCGTGTATTTCGAGAACAAAGAGTGATATTGACATGGGATCAGTTTCATGTAACGCATAATCATGTAACTTAGAACTCATTAAATTTTAAGCAAAATCGGTCAAGTCGTTTTTCGAGCCAAATGAAAAATTATATAAAATATTAAAACTTTAAAAATTATAAAACAATTAAAAATATTTTTTTTATTCTTTCCACCAGGAAGTTAGTCGTGTGGACCTTTCAGGTCGCACCTAGACCGCTTTTATATATTCAATTTGTCATAAGAAATACATGAATAATTATTATCCTTACATATGTTTTCTGTGTAACAGATTTTATCTTTAAGCCAGATTTTTATATTTAAGACATAGATTTTATATTTAAGACAGATTAGATCATTAAGCGTAATATTTTGATTACTCACTTCTCAGGACCAAGATGGATTGCCTCACCGCCTATTAATATACTGGCGCTCTACACCTTTCGACCAGAACATTAATATATAAAACTCAGATTTACGAATTTTATCGCGTATAATAACTTATCTTTGGGGTTGTAAGCAAGAGCTAATTTATAATAAGTAAAAACTACATCATTGAGTAATGATGCTGCTGGTTTAGTTCAAATGATTTTTTGTTGAAATCTTTTTTTAAGAGCAAGTACCTGGAACCACACACACGGATACAGCCAACTGGCAATCTGGCTAAACTAAAAGTACTCAGAGCAAATTACTTAGACTCGAAATTTTATTTAACACTTGTAACGAAAATAAAACGACTAACAGTAGAGAAGCATTAAATAAGATAATAGTAATCGCATACAGGCTAGATTAATAAGATTTATAAGTAATTGAATTAGCACGTCCGCATAATTACATTATTTACCTGCACGTGTAAATGAAGTGTTCAAGGTTTATAACGAATCTACGTCAACGCCAAAATTTATTATGTTTTGTTAAGGTTAGAAGATCTTTCGTGGGTAAAAATAAACTGACGATTCGCCTCGTCTAAACCTGACCTAAAATAAAACTTTTGACCTTAATCTTATCGTACAGTTAGGTAAAATTTATAAATAAGATCTTCTGTCTGTTACAATATTTAATCTATTTATATAAACACAAAAAATGTTGCTATCTACGTTCGTTACAGACTTTGAAACCATCGAACCGATGTGCCCCAAACCGGTCTCATTAAAAAGGCAATAATGCGAAGATGGTTTTAGACCACTAAATAATTCATTAGGCACTATAAAAAGGTAATAAATAAACAAAATGTCCTTTTTTAATAAATACAAATAAAAAAATATTCATTGAAAAAAGAATGACATACAATACACTCCGTAGTGTGGGAAAGGCATATTTCGGACCGTTTTTCATTCTTCTTTCATTAACTTATAGTTCACTACTGAGTACTGACATAGAACTTTTTATAGAATAAGGACGGTAAACGAGCACAGTCCACCGTCAAAATGCAGATGCATTGTAACCCCTGAAAATTAAAATAGAATACCTAGTATCCAGTAAAAAAGGTATACGTAACACATCAATGAGCTATTTTACAATGGTATTCAGTGGAGCGTGGTCCTTTCCTGGTCGAGCCGACCTATTTGTGCTACAAGCATAATGTAGCTGCAGGCACGTTCGATTGTCACCTGGCAAGCTTGGCAACTATGGCAATACTCGCCATGAAACAATTCACGGGGTAGGCCAATGTTCAGTAGTGAATTTTTATGGGCTGTAATGGATGGATGGATAGAAGTATAAACTTCAAAAAAATTATAAGCACAAATTTGGTACTTGGTGGTATAGATACAGAATAAAATTTCCTTTGTTTTCCTTTCCTAGAATAATATGAAGGTTCAACGGAAGACACTTTTGGGAATTGTTCTGAAACTTTAATCCGCCTGAGTGTTTTCGCCTCCTCTAGCAGTATCGAATTTTATTTTTCTCTTGAGGTTTAACCTTATCACAGAAACGTGTTTGCTAGCACTGGACGGCTATCCATTGCCATGCTTTTAGTCTGTGATATATTTTTAAAAGTCAGTCAAGAGTTAGCCGGACACGCTGAAATGTAAAGTTGTAGCTAATAAAAATATGAAATGAGCAACAATTTATTAATTTAATTAGCCAAATTCTAAAAGGAGGTTATTATTAATTCGACTATGTTATTACGCGATATCTTATTTAATTCAGAAGCGCTTTAAATGATACTTTATTTTATTAAAAAGGTTAAATAAGAATACCTTCTTCAAGGCTGGTCTCATATAGAAATAGTAAAAAATCCACTTCTTAAGTTGGAAAACAGGTAGGGATTTTCAAAGTAACAATTAAGATGGAGATCTACTATTTTTAGTCCAATTAAATAGGTTCAAAAACAAAACTTTTTATAAAGTAAAAGTCCTACAAAAAAAAACAAAAAATAATAAAATTATTTCTCAATAACAACTTCCGAAGCAACGACTTCAGAAGCTATTATGTGGGTATTATCCTATCCTATTAAACGAGCAATTCTTGTAATCTTCTTGTAATATACAAGAATTGCTCGTTTAATAGGATAGGATTGAGTAATGAGTAATAAATATTAATTTCGGCTAATATCTTCCCAACAGCATCAAGCTACTATTTATCTTATTTAAACTAAACTTAAGATTCGACTTCAAAGAACTAAAAAATATATAATAATACCCACATAATAGCTTCTGAAGTCGTTTCTTCGGAAGTTGTTATTGAGAAATAATTTTATTCTTTTTTGTTTTTTTTTGTTTGTATATATATATATATATACAGGGTTACTGGTAACTCGACGTATTCCCGCCAAGGCGTAATAGTTGGGGTCACAACCTATCAAATGAACCATAAACTGCATTATGCAAATGTGGACCAATTTCGAGATATTTAGGTTTAATTATTTTTTTCAAAAATCCCAAGTCTGGTGTCAAAAATTTCTAAAAAAAAACTTACAGCTGTATTACTTCCATTTTATTATTTTTACTTAATGAAAACCTGGACACTTATTTATCAATACTACAGTGTGCAAAAAGTCTCATCATTTTCGAATTAACGCTACTAAAAGTACAACTTTTTCCAAACAGAAGATAAGTAATTAAAAATAAATATGATTTTGTGAAAAATAATTGTATGTGACCAATTCTGTAAATCATGTTAAAAACATCCCTACTTATCTAGCTACCCAACGAAGTATCAATTTAGCTTGTAACTTAAATAGTACATTAAAACCTTGAAAAAAAGGGGCCAGGTAGACAAGTTCCGAGTAGCAATGTTTTGGGTAATCCCAAAAATCGCAGACATTTGGGATTTTAAAAAAAAACAATTAAACCTAAATATCTCGAAATTGGTCCCCATCTGCATAATGCATTTTATGGTTCATTTGATAGGTTATGACCCCAACTATCACGCCTTGGCGGGAATACGTCGAGTTACCAGTAACCAACTCCAACGATTTTCAAAAAATTTAGTGTCCAGGGAGTTTCGGAGGCAATAAATCCAACTAGCTAGGATTTATTTTTAGAAAATGTCTTTTTGTCCGTGTTTTCAGGCAATAAAAAACTGCTACAATATAAGAAGGAAAATTTTGACACTGCGTCATGTCCTACGCGGGCCCCCAGTCATGTTCTACGCGGGCCCCGTTTTTGCCCACGCCGACCCTAAAATTATTAATGAACTCCAAATAGTTCGAAACCTTTTCTGTCGTCGAGCTGCGAATGCACCTTGGTACGTCCGTAATGCCGACCTTCATCGGGACCTAGAGCTCCCCACAATTCAACAATTTCTCAAAAAAACTCTCTGAGAACTTCTTCAAAGCCTCAGAGTCGCACTCAAACCACTTAATTCGTGAGGCAGCTACTTATGCAGCCCCACCCCCTCTCGCTATCGAGTCCGCAGGTTGAGAAACTCTCTCTCGGACCCGCCTAATAAACTAACAAACGACCTGAACTGCCTCCTGGCGGCCCAGGCCAACTCTAATTAAATTAAATTATTACTCATAATTAATTTGCCTTCGTAGGCACTCCCTCAGCGGCTCGTAGCCGCCTGCGCCCTCTTTTCCCAAAAAGGGTCGCTCGTGATAAGACACAATACAGCTTAATCAGCCGGTTGCCTGTCCCCAAAGGCGGTTTTTAGAGGGTATCACTTAGGGGGGACCCTAAGGTAGGATGGGCGTCCCTCATAACCACGATAGACCGGCTATCGTGGTATGCGTAATGCATTTTCTGCCTCCCTACGTATAGGGTAGCCCTTTAATTGCTTCGGGCACAAAAAAAGAACAAAAAAAACACTGCGTTAATGATCGTAATAGCTCAAGTGGATATCGAGCGGTTGCGAAGTCGTAATACCTTGGTTTGCGTTCCGTCTTCGGTCAGTTTTTTTTTCCTTTTTTT